AAAGAAACAAGAAAATATGCCCTTTTTGGGGTGCCTGGCTCGCTCAGTCAGTGGAGTGTGTGACTCTTGATCTCAGGTTATGAGTTTGAGCCCCATGTTGGGTACAGAGATTATTTAAAACTAAAATCTTTGGGGCGCCTGGGTGGCTCAGTCATTAAATATCTGCCTTAGGCTCAGGTCATGATCCCGGGGTCCTGGGATCGAGCCCCATATCAGGTTCCCTGCTCCGCGGGAAGCCTGCTTCTCCCTCCCCCACTCCCCCTGCTTGTGTTCCCTCTCTCACCGTCTCTCTCTGTCAAATAAATAAATAAAATCTTTAAAAAAAAAAAGTTAAAAATAAATTAAGATATAGTACTTAAAAAAAAAAAGAAAGAAAATGAAAGTCAAGGGACACCTGGGTGGCTCAGTCGTTAAGCGTCTGCCTTCGGCTCAGGTCATGATTTCAAAGGGTCGTGGGATAGAGCCCCGCATCGGGCTCCCTGCTCCGCGGGGAGTCTCCTCGTCCCTCTCCCTCTACCCCTCCCACCCCGCCCCACTTGTGGGCTCTCTCTCTCTCAAAAAATAATAAATAGAATTAAAAAAAAAAAAGAAAGAAAAGAAAATGAAAGTCAAACCATAGAAAATATTTCAAATCAGGGCTGCCTGGCTGGCTCAGTAGGTGGAGTATGTGACTCTTGATCTCAGCGTTGTGAGTTCAAGCCCCATGTTGGGTGTAGAGATGACGTAAAAATAAAATCTTAAAAATATATATATTTCCAAATCATACACCTGGTAAAAGATATCCAGAACATATAAATACTATTACACCTGAATAAGACAACCCAATTTAATACTGGACAAGAGCCTTGAGTAGATGTTTGAAGGAAGACTCTTCATCAGGGAAATGCAAGTCAAACCCACAATGAGACACCACATCACACTGGGCTTTAATCAAAAAGACAGACAATGCCAAGTATCATCAAGGGTGTGCCTGACTGGAAACTTCTTATATTGTCAGCAGGATTGTAAAATGGTACCTCCACCTTGGAAAACACGGGGAATTCCACTTTTGGGAATCTACCCGAGAGAAATGAACATACGTTCACACAAGGACAAATGCAAATGTTCACAATTGACAAAAGGAAACAAAAAGTCCATCAATTGGCAAATGAGTACAAAGAAAATGTGCTATTACTAAAGTACACATTCTAGGCCAACATCACTCTAGGGGGAATCACAAGACACCCTAAGACTGTTGGTTGTATGACTCCACATTTATAGGTACAGAAAGGACAGCGGTTGCCAGGGTCTGGGAGACAGGGGCTGCTGGGGACAGGCAACAAGGACAAATAGCTCAACAAAGAAGTTTGGAGTCATGTTTCTGCAACTCTACACAGTTACTAAAACATAATTAAATTATAAACTTTGGATGGATGGATTTTGTAAATTGTACCTTGATAAAGCTGTAAGAAAAATTAGTTTGTCTATGTCATTCACTATTTTATTTGAATCCTGTGGAAAGTTTTAATTCACAGGGTTTTTTTAAGTACTGTGCATTAACATTTATTAATTACCTCGTAGATATTCCTGTGACATGGGAGAGCACGGGGCCCCTCGGTGGTCTGTCCTGAGGCTGTTGCACGCTTTTCAGGTGCATCTGAGGAAGACGTTTGATGCCGTAAAAATGCTGCAGTAAACCTTGTCACCAAACCCCTGCTCCCATCCATGGTGATTTCCTCAGGGTACGTTTGTAAACGGGTCCTTGCTGAGACACGCCATCTGAACACTGTTACACTGTAAGGTGTCTGTTCACGGCGTGCTCCCAGCCCCACCAGCCACCCCCGTGTCAGGTAAGGCCATGCTGTTATCTGCACGCTCACCTCTCTTAGGTTCTTTGCTAATTTGATAAAAAGTTCAAAATAGTGTCACGGCCCCCTTGTGACGGTGCAGACACTAAAGGAAGCACCACACCACATTCCCCCCGGGCTGGTTCCCACAGGTCTGCTCTCCACCCCCACAGAAAGGACATAGGACAGGAACGGCTCAGTGCTGGGCTGGGGTGCTGCCCTCAGGGTCTCAGCTGTGGGGGGCCCTACAGGACCCCAGGGCCCTTCAACAGGACACTACATGGAGCAGAGAGGATGATTCTATGGATTAAGACACAGGCACACATCTAACTGCAACGCGTGCAGTTTAACTTGATTCCGATTCCACCAGAAAGTGAAAGAACCTTCACAAGGCAATCAAGGAAAATACTGTTTGGATCTCTAATGATGCTTAGGACTGTTGAGACTTTTCCTGGTTGGTATTCCAGATGCTGACCACTCTGTAAGAAATTACCCAAAACCCAGTGGGAAGCAAATGCGGTTCTCTATCACCCTCACAGATGGTGCAGTTCAGGCAGGGGGATGGGATGGTTTATCTGGTGCTGTGGGGCAGGGCTTCTGGGTTGTGAGCCCCAATTTTCAGATTAAGAAAAGCCACACCCCTGCCTCTCTCTCACCTGTGCCCTGAGCAGAAGCCAAAATGGGAGGAGACCTTTGGGGGTCCTGGGAGGCGTTGTGTTTACAGAAGGGGAATGTGTGGGCCACACGTTCTTTGCTTTTCTTCCCTTCGAAAGAGGTGGACTCTAACTCCCTGCCCTTAAACCTGGGCCGGCTCAAGTTCTGGACTTCACCAGTGAAAAGCTGCAGGAGTTTGGCTCCTGGCACTTCCTCGTGGGTTCACATGAAGACTTGTGAACAGGCCTCTCAGAACATGGGCTCTTGGGCGCCTGGGTGGCTCAGATGTTCGGCTCAGGTCATGATCCCAGGGTCCTGGGATCGAGTCCCGCATTGGGTTCCCTGCTCCTTGGGAGCCTGCTTCTCCCTCTGCCTCTCTCTCTCTATCTCTCATGAATAAATAAATAAAAAATCTTAAAAAAAAAAAAAAAAAGAACATGGGCTCTTGGAATCTGGCTGCCAAAATTGCACAGGAGTCGTGCAGAAGGGCCTCGGGCTGGGGCCCCAGTGTGGACCTGATGTGACTGCAGCTACACTCTGCCCAAGAGTAGCAGAGTTGTGACTCCCTGCTCTAAGCCCCTGCGTTCTGCAGTGGTCCCTCACACAGCAGTGGATGCGTGAACAGAGTGGATGATGGTACTGTGGTTGTTGCTTCTCCCCAGAAAGGATCCCCTTCCTTTGAGATAGATACGCGCTCAAATAGTGACGGTGGAAATACCCTCTGAGGTTTGCTTCAAACCGGCTGCATGTATGGGGAGGAGGGAGGGCACAGTGGAACCAGACAGGTCCCAGGCTGGTAACTGCTGAAGCTAGGCAGCAGGTGCACAGGCTCAGAACACCATTCTTTCTACTTTGGTGCGCGTGGTGGGCCACCTCAAGACAGGCCCAACGCCTTGCCTGCTGGGACTCATCCCTGCGGCCCCTCCTACACCACCCTAGGGCAGGTCGCTGCCGCCAGGAGAGCGCAGGAGGGACCCTGCTTCTGAGATTTAGGTCACTAGAGACAGCGCGGCTTCGTCTTGAGTGCTTGCTGTTTCCCTGGCTCTTGTTTTCTGTCCATCTCCCTCTGAGGCCTCACCTGGGAGAAGCCAGCTACCCTGAGAGGCCAGGAGTTGTAGGTGCCAGGGCACTAAATCACTCCAGCCCGCAAAGAACTGAGCCTCCTGCTCACAGCACTTGCAAGAGCTTGGCATTCCAGCAGATCTTAGGGGCGACCGCTCTGGCCAACGGCTTGCTGCAACCTCTGGAGACGAGGCGCCAGAACCGCCTGCCAGGCAGCTCCCTGATCCTCAGGAACTGTAGAGTAACTGCCGTTTTAAGCTGCTAAATGAAGGGTACATGTTTTTACACAGTAAGAGATTCCGAATAAAATCCATGTTTGAAATTTTCTACAATAGGATTGATTTTTGTTTTACTTTTTTAAAAAGCACTTAAGGAGGGGGGGCGCCTGGGCGGCTCAGACGGCTAAGCGTCTGCCTTCGGCTCAGGTCGTGATCCCAGGTCCCGGAGGGAAACCCGCATCCTGCTGCCTGCTCAGCGGGGAGCCTGCTTCTCCCGCTCCCTCTGCTGCTCCCTGCTTGTGCTCTCTAATGAATAAATAAAATCTTAATAAGTAAGTAAATAAAAGCCCTTGGGTTATGTGAAAGCAGACTTTTCCTCTACCTGCAGTTCGGCAACGCAGGACAGCGGGCTGCGGGTTCCGGGTTTACGACAGGAAGCCTCACAAGCAACACATGGAACCGTGCTGCCCAGTAAGCTGACGGCGCGACTGCTAAGTTACCCCAAGTCCGCAATATTTCTCAAATATTAAAAAATCTCCCAAAGATAGCCAGGTTCCTATTTTGCATTCAGTTCGTGGCCGAAAACGCCCTCCACACAACGAATGGGCTGTGCGCCGGCCTGTGCCGGCCGCGATCCCCGCCAGGCCCTGCGGGTCGGACCGAGGCCGAGGGCAGCGGCGCAGGTGGGCAGGCGCCCCGGGACCTGCTGGGGGTCTGCTGGGGACCCGCGAGGACCTGCTGGGGGCTATACAGTGTCCCTCGGTCTGCGCGCGGCACATGTCGGACACCGGCCGCAGCCGGGGGCTTCTATCGCGCACGGGGAACAGCGGGCGGAAGCGACCGGGTCCCGCGGCGAGGAGCGCCTCGGGCACAGGCTCCCCCCTCGCCGCGCCGGGACCCCAGGGCGGCCGGGGAGCCGTCGGACGACAAAGACCGCTAGTCCCCGCGCTTCACAGACGCGCGTCAGGGCTCCTCGGGGACAGATCACGACGTACGGGGGACGCACGCGAGGCCGTCAAACTGCCTCATGCCCTCGGCTGGCGGCCGAGCCCCGAGGACGCCCAGGACCAGAAAACAATGGCAGCAGAGCGCGCAAAACCCCACCCCGGCCCGACCTCGCGGGACGCGCCCACGAGGTCGCCTCCACAAGATGGTGGCGGCGCGTTCCCGGCAGCCCGCGCGCGCGCATGCGCCCTCCGCCGCCCGCCCGGAGCGAGCGGAAGTCGCGTGACCCCGGAAGTGGCCGACCGGGCGCGCGCGGGCGGGGCGGCGACGTTCGTCATTCCGTGCGGGAGGGAGCGCGAGAGCGGCGCGGTCGACCCTCCGGTGAGCGGCGGCGGTGGCGGCGGTGGGCAGGGTGGGGTGGGGGGGGGTGGGGCGGGGCGGGGCGGGGCCGGGGAGGGGGACCCCGTGGGGCTGGGGGCGCCGCGCCTTTGTTCGCGCCCCTCGCCGGGGGTGGGCGCGGGCCTCCTTAGGGGCCGCCGCCCGTGTCTCGCGGCGACCCCGCCCGCGCAGATGCGCGCCGGCCAGACCCAGGCCTGGCGCCCCCTCCCCGGGGATGCGGGCGCGGCGCCCGGCCCGAGCGGCGTGGTCCCCGAGCACCCCACCCCGCGCGGTGCGCCCGCCCGCTCGCCCGCCCAGATTGCGGAGCCTTGCGGAAGGAAGTGTGGGCCGCGGCCATCGCACTCGGAGGAGCCTGTCGCCTGCGGACACACTTGGGTGGCGTCAGGGCGTGAGCCTTCTAGAGGAATTCCAGAGGAAGCGGCCGGGAGGCCTGGAAAAGCGGGCGGGCCCCACCCCACCTGTGGCGGCCGGCCGGCCGGCTCGCGGTTCCCGGCGGCCCTTTGTGAGGTCTGGTGCTCGGGCAGCTCCAGGCAGCCAGCCCGGTCCCGTGGGGAGAGGCGTTGCTTATCTTTCCGGAGCAAGCTGAGGTCTAGTGTGGACTGGGCTCTGGCCCACTCCTGTGCTGGCCAGAGGATCTGAGTGGGCTTCAGCTGTTCCTCAGCGATTCTAGCGGGGTGCGACGGGGATCCTTAACCTTAGGGAGCCCAGTGGGCTGCCCCCTGCACTGCCCCTTGCTCCCCCAGCGCTGTCCCAAGCTCTTCTGGGCCAGGATCCAGGAAGAGAGGGTCCTGAGACCAGGTGGGCATTGCAGCACTTCCCAAATTCTAGGTCACATACTCTCACAAATTGGAAAGAAGGTTGGCAGATGGTTAGAGTTCCTCATGCCCGTCTGGGACCCACCTGTGGGACTCAGGCTGGCCCGGTCATCTGAGCTCCAGGAGAACCCTGCGTTTGCAGGACGGGGCCTTGCTTCACTGTTAGGACAGAGCCCAGTGAGTGTGTTTGGTCAGGGAGACCCAGGAGGAGGTGTTCTCGGCAGAGGGTCTGGGCAGCTTCGAGAGAATCGCAGGATTTTAGAGGTGACCCCACCCTGTCAGTAGGGGCTGGGGGTGCTGTCTTCTCCCCTAGGTGTGGGAGATGTATGCTTGGTCTTCTTGGGGAGCAGGACTGAGCAGGTCCTACTTCGGGATGCTCTACCAGGACTTCCAGCCGGGTCCCCGAGGTGGGCAAGGCAAGGAGTGAGGCCCTCTCTGGGCTTCAGGAGTCTGTGTTGGGACTTTTGCAAAGCTCTGTGTGCAGTTGCTTTCCCCCAAAAGGCCTACGTTCCCTTGGGCCCAAATATGGGGTCCAGTTACCCGCAGAGGGTCTGTCGGTACATTGTGCGTGTGCCAGCAGTGGGGCTTGCTGAAGGGCCGGGGAGGGAAGCGCTGCGTCCCTTCAGGCTGCCACAGCCCTGTCCTTGCCCACAGGTGTCTCAGACCAGCTAGAGGTGAGCATGGCTGAGCAGGAGCCCACGGCTGAGCAGCTGGCACAGATTGCAGCTGAGAACGAGGAGGACGAGCATTCGGTCAACTATAAGCCCCCCGCCCAGAAGAGCATCCAGGAGATCCAGGAGCTGGACAAGGACGACGAGAGTCTGCGCAAATACAAGGAGGCCCTGCTGGGCCGTGTGACTGTGTCTGCAGGTAAGTGGACTGACCTGTCACCTTTGGGTTTCTGCTGCCAGCTCCCCTCCCCGCCAGCAGCCAGTCGGGTGGGATGGAGCTCTAACCTGCCCTTGTCCGCAGACCCCAGCGTCCCCAATGTTGTTGTGACCCGCTTGACCCTGGTGTGTAGCACAGCCCCCGGCCCCCTGGAGCTGGACCTGACAGGTGAGTGGCATCGCTGAGGTCCTTGGCGGCTGGCACCCTGCTGTTTCTCAGAACGCAGGTGCCCTCTTGTGGGGGGCGGAAGAAGTGCAACCAGGAAGTCGGCCTGCTCTGGCTTTGGAGTGGCCTGGGTCCTGGGTGGGGCCTTGTGGGTGAGGGCGGGAAGGAAGGAGCGCGTGCGCCTGCAGATGGGGGGGTGCTGGGGTGAGCAGCTTCCTGTAGCTGAGCTTTTTAGTGCAGTTTTTTTTCTCGGGCGCAGGCGACCTGGAGAGCTTCAAGAAGCAGTCCTTTGTACTGAAGGAGGGCGTGGAGTACCGGATAAAAATCTCTTTCCGAGTAAGGCAGACGCTGTGGGAGGTGCTGGGAGGCCTTGGGCCTGGAGGGCCCCCACCGAGCTCTGCTTGGGCTCTCTCCCTGCAGGTGAACCGGGAGATCGTGTCCGGCATGAAGTACATCCAGCACACGTACAGGAAAGGCGTCAAGAGTGAGTGGGGGGGCGGGGGGCGGCGGTGCTTGACCCCTGCCTCCAAGATGCGGTGGCTGGCCCTTGGCTGGCCTGTGGGAAGGGGCAAGGTGGAGGTGGCCGCCCAAGGGCTCTGGGATCAGGAGGGAGAGAAAGAAGGCAGTGTGTGCCTTCGGCCCTGGGTGGGGTCAGGCGGCTCTGGTGACCGGTTCATCTCCTGCACACAGTTGACAAGACCGACTACATGGTGGGGAGCTACGGGCCCCGGGCAGAGGAATATGAGTTTCTGACCCCTACGGAGGAGGCGCCCAAGGGTATGTTGGCTCGAGGCAGCTACAACATCAAGTCCCGGTTCACAGACGACGACAAGACTGACCACCTGTCCTGGGAGTGGAACCTTACCATCAAAAAGGAATGGAAGGACTGAGCCCTGGCCCGGGAGGCGGGCAGGCCTTCGGACAGACAGACGGACCTGTCTGACGTGCCCCACCCCTACCACCCCCACCCCATCCCAACCCCTTACCAAAGTGCTGACGGGTCTGCCCCCCGGCCGACCCTACCCATCCCTCCTGGCCCTGCCCCGCAGGCCCCAGCCTCCTCGGTGGTCTTCGCCTTGCTGCTTCTGCCTGTGCTGGGGGGGTAGAGGGGGGAGGGAGCCTCCAGGCCAGGCCTCCACCTCCCCTTCCGTACCCCTTCGGGTTCCCCCACCTGTCCTGACCTGAGGCCCTGGCTTTTCCAAGGGAATCTCCTGGGGTGCTCAGGTCCCTGTGGGCCTTTGCAGTTGCCCTGAATCCTGTTCTTTCTTTTCTTCCGGGGTGGGGGTGGGGTGGGGTGCATGATTCGAGGCCTTTTGGGGGCCAGCCACCCTCCTGCTTTCACCTGTCTCCGGTCAGTTCATCCATTGCTGTCAGTAACTGTCTAACCATGATGCCTTAACATGTGGAACGTGTGCTGTGGGGGCCGTCACTAACCTCTAACCCCCCCATGTCTGCATGAGCATGTGGTCCCCCCGGTCCTTGCCCCATCCGCAGTCCCCGTGGCCCGGGGAGGTGTGGGGTGTGCTGCTCTTCCCCGCCCCCCACCCGTCAGGGCCTGGCCAGCCCCCTCCCCCGGCCAGGGCTGTGCAGACGGCTCCAGGGGCTGGGGGAAAGCCAAATTGCCAAAATTGAAGTTGCCTCCATTCCCATCTGGGAGGCCAGGTGTCCTCATGCCTCTGCCTTCTTTGTCCCAGCGGGCAGTGCCGGAGCCCGCGGCCCCAGCAGCCAGCCCTCGGCGGACAAAGCCGGCGGCCGAGCCTTACTTGTCCCACCGGGGCCTGCCGACCTGGAGTCGCGTGCCTGGCCTGTCAGTATTTATTGCCTCCATATGTGCCGTCCTCTGGGCCCCCTGGCCTGCCACCTCTGCCCCCAGGCTCGGTGCCACCATCCCCGGCAGGCCCTCCCCGGACCCAGCCAGGACAACTGCGGGACCAAGCGTGCACAGTCGGAGCCCTCCCCTGTGCCTCCCCTCCCTTTGCCTTCCTTGTTAGGCCTGGGCCTAGAATGTTCAGGAGCCTGACCCTGCTTCTCTTTTTCTGACCGGGAAATAAACTCCCCCAAAGGAGCCAGGGTGTCTGCTGCTTGTCTCTGGAGGGGGGTGGGGGGCAGCTGGGGTGCATGGGGTGGTACTGGGGCTTCCCCCTGGGCCACAGCCACTGCACTTGTGGCTATGGAAGAGTGAATGGAAGGCTTTCGTACCAGTTTCATCGGGCCAGTCCTTCACTGGGTGTAGGCCTGACGTCTCCCCAAATTGCCCAAGTTACACCGTTCTCGGCCAGTGGGGGGGGTGGGTGCACAGGTCTTTCTGGGAGTCTGGAGCACGGGCTTCATGGAGGAAATGCCCCAACCCTGAAGAAGGGGAACCTCGGGGCGCCTGGATGGCTCAGTCGTTAAGCGGCTGCCTTCGGCTTAGGTCATGATCCCAGGGTCCTGGGATCGAGCCCCGCATCGGGCTCCCTGCTCCGCGGGAAGCCTGCTTCTCCCTCTCCCACTCCTCCTGCTTGTGTTCCCTCTCTCACTGTGTCTCTCTCTCTCTCAAATAAATAAATAAAATCTTTAAAAAAAAAGAAGAAGGGGAACCTCGCTGGAGATGAGACCTGTGCCAGAGGCAGTCCGTGGAGGGAGGGGGTGAGAAGGTCCCTGCATGGTGTGGCCGGGCTGCCCTGCAGTGGGGGCAGGAGGGCGCCAGGAGGTCGGTGCTGTGGGCGGCAGGGCTCTGGAGGGCCCCACGGGATCAGGGGTCCAAAGGTGGAATGGGTGAAGTGGGGTAGCCAGGAGGAGACTGGGGGACCCTCACTGCTTAGAGGTGCAAAAGAGCAGCAAGAGGGACCCCTGAAGGACAGCCAGTCCCATTGCCGACAAGGCCTCTACGGGACCCTGGGGGTGGGGGGGTGCAGGAGAAGGAGGACACTGCCCCCCTCTCTCACACCACCCGAGGGCGTTAGCAACTATGTGCCCCCTCCCCAGCCCCAGGACGGAAAAAGGGCAGATGGGGAACCTAAGCTTCAGAAACTCTCTCGTCTGGCCTGATGCCTGTTGTGAAAGCTCTCTCTCCGCCGTCTGAGTGGGTTAGAAAAGTGGTTTTGTGCCACACTTGGTGCGGACGGGAAGCTGCTCTCTTAGAGGCTGCTGGCCACACCTTTGGGGGCCTGCCCTCCTCCCAGTACTTACCAGCAGGGTGTGCTCTGCCAGCAGCTTGTCGCCGGCTGGGGCGGACCAGTGACCACACACGCCTGTGCCAGGGCCGCTTCCACTGAAGTTGCCTCCATTCCCATCTGGGAGGCCAGGTGTCCTCATGCCTCTGCCTTCTTTGTCCCAGCGGGCAGTGCCGGAGCCCGCGGCCCCAG